GTGAACTTTCCATAGGTATAGCCCAAAAAATAAGGATGTGGATGTGGGTGTGGGTGTGGTTGAAGATATCCATACACTTGCGCTCCCACCCACGCCCACACCCACACACCCACACCCTTATGTACTAAGCAACAAGCAGTGAGATTGTACAGCTTTAGTGGAACTTTCGTAGTATTGCAGTATTGGTGGATCATTGTGCGTGTGTCATTTTTCTCTCTTTCTTTTAATTCCTCATCATTATCATCATTGCTCAGTTATATTTTGCCTTCCACACCGTTCGAAGTTAAAATACACAAATTTACGTCGTTTTTGAGATGATGATGATTCGACCAATACTGTTTGATTATTTGCTATAGTGTTAGTATCAGCTGTTGTTGTATTTACCCCTATGACATCAGCATCATTTCTATGAATATATTATCGAAATTGTACATGTATAATTGATGTGAAAAGTTGTATTTTTAACTAAATTAAACATTAAAATAGATCATTTAGATGAATTGTCGAAAGAAGTGGTTTGAGCTTTATTGAACGTTGATATATCATCATCACTATTAGCTCCGTGTTGGGACAGACATTGAACTTTAGTCAATTAACAAAAAACAATATGGTTTGGTCCAGTTTCAAAAAAGCAAGTATCTTCATGAGAAACATCTAAAAACAAAAGCTCATATCAATATAAACTATATATATTTTTATTTCTTTACCATTTTTATCTTGAGAATCATAAAGAATAATACAATGGCGCATTCACTTCTCACATACACTTCACAAATTTTATTGATACAATAAAAGTGACAGTACTCAATTTTCCATTAGTAACAACTTGATCACCAATTAATTGCTAATGGTTCATTTGATGATTCTTGTCGTTATTCAATTGGATTTGTTGAGAAGAAGAACTTGCCATTGCTGATGATGTTTATTATACCATCCAAAAATCTGCTTTTAAGCCATTAGAAGTCTTGTATTATGTTACTGGTGAACGATTAATCACCTCTTCATTTATTATCAATAAAGTCTTTTTAACATATAGATATGAAAATTGATGCATTCCATCTTCGTCAACGATAGTTTTTACACAATGAATTCATGATCGAATACGATCAGGTCTGTATAAAGCATCCTATTTTAAGTAATTAGTTTATTAACGAATCATTTGGTTCCAATTCTTGAAGGATAAGAATACGAATGAACTTGAGAATCAAGATGAAGATATAATACTAAGATATATGAATAAATGAAATGTGTATGTGTCTATTGATGTGTATAAACCATCGTTCCTGTATTTGCATCGATTTTCAACAAATAATGAAACGCAATCTCATGCATAATTTCTAGGCAAGTAACTTGATAACCAACTAATTATTTAAAATAAGATATTTTATACAAAACCGATTGTATTTGGCTCATATCCGTTGTCGATTATGAACTCATTCAGTAAAGATAAAATCGGCGAAAATGAATTAATTCGTTATTTCTATAGAATACATTGCATACAGAAATAGACGCTTTTGTTTCTTTAAAACAATAGTCAAAAAAACAATTGTTCGAATTCATCTTCTGTCTCATTCAAAAAATGTTCCAATACGTAAGAATCGTTTGATGTAGAAGTATTTCTGTGAATATCTATTGAGCTGTTAATGTTTTACATTCAGTTAAATTTACAAATGAAAACTTCATTCACTCGAATATTGTACCAGGCATATAAAAATTAATGATTGACACTTAAAGAAAATTGCATACTTGACGATTAACTTTTGATAAATTAACTCAATCAAATATTGCTGATTAAAAAATTGAAATCATAAAAGAACCGTTACTCATATTGACATCAACCGTTGTTAAAAACAAAAATGTTACTTGTAAAAAAAAAAAGATCGAATAATTCAAAGCAATTTCTAGTAAAGACACTGTCACAAATCGACAATGTAGATATTTATCGTTACATTGAAAAAAGCTCGATTCATTATAAATGTTTTTTTTTAAATGTCTTGCCTTTTAAAAATCTGTATAATCAAGATTCCAATAAGTAAATTTTAGTGAATGTTTTAAAAAACACTCGATAAAATAATGCATATCGAATATTATTCTCTTCTATGTGCAAATAATTACATATAAAGCGTGATATTTATCATTGTATTGATTCAATGATAGGTCAAATTATGCATCATTGACATTAGCAATATAAGATAATAGTATCTTTTTTTTTTCTTACGTTAATATCAAGAAGATCTGCTTCTAAAAGAATTTCCAGAAGAATTGAATAACGTGTAGGGTTGAGTTGACGTATAGAGCAGCTTCAGTTTTCATTAGAAGTACAATCTATCGTGTATTGTTTGACTCATTCAATTTTGAATCATATAGTCAAGCAAAAATTTTGATAATCTAAAAGTACATTTTCTTTTTGATATTCCCTTTCTAACATAAGATTATCAATTGCTAATACTTGAACAATTACTTGATTCAATCTGATCAATTTTTTAAAAATATATTTGTTATAGAGTTATGCTTTCATATACTATCATTCGATTATAACCAAAAATGATAATTCAACAAAAAGGATCAATCTCATATTAAATGGAATATTTTTTTTAAATGAATACTTCTCCTTTTAATTCCATTAATTAAAAAAAAAAAGAATAATAATAAATATTCTAATTGAAATGTTCACAAATGTAGTTTTTCTTTTTCGATCAATACTTTATATTAGACAAACTAACATCGAATATATTGCCATTAATATTATATATTGAACTGTCTTTTCAATACATAAATCAGAGTTAATCCAATATTGGATCAGTTATCAATGAATTTGTTGAACAATCATTATTTCAATCAATTGAATTAGTAAAAGTATCTTTGTGAATTTTTTGCACTAGATACTATACATGAAATTTTTTTTTCATAGTTCTCTCTGACTATTGATGATATTTCATCGATAAACTTGATGAAATTTATTTAGTGATTTTTTTTAATCTAGTCTATTATTAATGGTAGAGACAATAGAGTAAGAAAGATTGTCTGTTTCTTGCGACAAAAAGACAATGATTGATAGTTCTGTTTTTTTTGTTTTTTTATCAATTTGAGTCTAGATTACATTTATTTTGTCATTTACTTTCTACTTTGTCCTATAAGTTATCTCTATAAAAATAAAAAGAATATCATTTATTCTTCGATTGGTTTTAAGTATTTCATGTTTCCACTACTTAGAAGTAAATCTCTTGTAGAGACAACTCTGCCACATGTACATCTAAAGCATATTGAACATCAACATCAAACAAATGAACAACTACTTGATACAATTGATAAGCTTCTTCATCAATTATCATCTGCTCAACCATTTTGTCTTGAAGAACTTGAACAATGGCGTCAAACAGCTTATCAATCTATAGATCAATATTGCGAAAAAAAACGTCATGATTTAATTGAAAAACAACAAGAAAAGTATAAAATAGAACTTCATCATCTACAAAATGAAGTCAATCAATTAATTAAAGAAGAAAATCGAACAGAAAATCAATATATTTTAATTAATCATAATATTCAATTAGTAGAAATAAAAATAAATGAATTAGAAAATCTTCGATTAACTCTTTATCCATTAGTTATCGATGAAAAACTTATTGTTCAACAACATATTTTTCCTTTATCTCATCCTTATCGAACCATTCGTATGACAACTGATATTGAAAGTTCAATGGCTGTCAATGATAAATATCTTCTTGTTGATCGAAAAAATATACATCTATGTTTACTTGATCAAAATTTAAAAATTATTAATGAAATACCATATACACATTATGGTATTCATAGTATTTGTTGGTCATCAACAATTAATCGATTTATTATCATTACATTTAAAGAAATATTAACACTTGATGCAAATACAATGATATTGGAAGAGTCTTCTATTTCATTGAATGAAAATTGGTATCGTGGAACTTGTTCCGAACACACTTTATTCTTATCAACAGTAGAATTGGGTTCATCAATCTATGAATTTAATCTTCAATTACCTTTTAAATTTATTAAAGAATGGCATTCACCTATAACATGTGAAAAAAATGAAATTATTTGTGATCTGAAATATAAGAATAACTTTCTTGCTATTTCTATTTTTAATAATCATAAAGACGAAAGTCGTCTTGATTTACGTTCATCAACAACACTCGAATGTATTTGGTCAGTTCGAATTCATGGACGTTGTCGTTGTTGTTCAATTAATATTGATCAATGGTTAGTAATGAATTATAATGATCATCGATTCTTTCATATTTCGGCTAATGGAAAACTATTAAAATCGGATAAATACGATCAACATCAACGAATTGAAGATATTCTTCAATGGGGTGAAAATGGTATGGTCGTCTTAACCAAAAGTAGTGTTAATTTGCATAAACTTTAATTTAAAAAAAAATCAATTCGAACAAATAGACTTTCCTGGGTTAAAGATAAAGTTTTTTGTACATCTATATCTTATAAATGAATGATTGTCATAGTCTTAATATCAATCGTTAGTTATTATTAATAAGAATGAAATGAAAGATCGAAGGACAATAAAAAATAACATCTTTTGAATAAAAATTCGTCTATAAAACGTGGACTGCATAGCTTTGGTAAAATATGGATATATAAATGAGCTCCAAATTTGGGGTTTATGTGTGAAGTTTATTGTTTTTTTGACCTATTATAAATGATCTTTGATGTTGCAATTATTACTTTATATTATTGAAAAGATAAATAATGAGATTCTTTGAAACCTTGATTTTTTTTGTAAATATTAATCAATATTTGTTTTCAGATTATTTCTGTCTTGTTGATAAAAATCACGATCATTATTTTATTCATTTAATAAGTTCATCTTTATTTAATTAAAGAGAAATAAAATTTATTTATTTATTTTTTTCTAAACAAAGAAGTCATAAAAAAGAAAAGAAAGTAAATGTTTTCATCACTGTTTTCATGTAAGATAACTATGATTAATATTATATTATTTATTAAGGAGTAATACCCTTGAGATAATATATCCATTGTACACTTGAACTTGATGTATTTGTTGCTCCAGTAGTTTTAGGACATGAAACAATTAATTTTGCCATAATATCAGCTTTATTTATTGTATCCGATCCATCAAATGAAACAACAATTCTATGTGATTTTCTTGCTTGAATTAATTCTTGACTTTTTGTTACATGAAAAAGTGGATTATCAACATTAAATGTATATGTTAATGCTTGAGCAAATATATTTTTAAATGTTATTGTTGTATTACTACCAGCTTTAATTGTAAATGGACCTTGTGGTTTAGGTAATTCACCAAGACCAACTAATGGAAATATATAATCACTTGTTGATGGTGAACTAATAGTTAATGTTGCACGTACATCACCTAATTGTGATGGTTCATATGTAACATCAACACTAACTTCCATTGTTGATGGTGATGAACTTGGTGCTGCTGTTACAGTTCGATCAACAATAAAATCAGGATGATCAATCTAAATTAATTTAAATTAAATTTTGATTAAAAGAAAAAAAAATTCTTTTTTTGAATTGACTTACTTTACAAACATAATCAGTTTTTGTACGAGCATAACTTGTAAATTTAGCTGTTAATACTTGTAAATTACCTAATGGTGCTTTAAAATATAATGTTCGTTCAGGACGAGCTGGAAGTGCATTTAATGTTAACATATAAGTATATAAACCAAGTTCAGCAGAATTTATTTCAAGACGAGTTTCAATTTTGCCAGCTTTTAATGGCATATATGTAAAATTAAATGAACCCTAACAAAGATAAAAGAAAATAAATTATTCATAAAACAACATTGAAGACCTAATTAAAATCATAGAATTAACTTAATAAGGTAGATATTGAGAAAAATGTTTTTCAATCCGCTCGAGATAATAAACAAGCGAACATTCTCAAGTGATCAATAGCTTTCTCACCGACATACTTTTTTGCTTAAAAATTCATCTAGACTATAGAGCATATCGAATTGTTTAGAAAATAGTAACTTGTTCTTTGTAGGAAATACAGCCATCTTAATTTGATACAACAGATATACATATTAACATTTCAATATGAAAATCTTCAAGATGATATTATTTTATCTTTTTTTTTGAAAAACAGAAAAGTTTATTGTTGTATATGCAACTTGACATACTATACAATCTGAGTATATCTAAAACGATTTTAGAGGAATTTTTGTTAGTTCGGAAAAAATCGGTTTTCTAGAAAACTAGTATATAAAGATCTCAGGAGAGTTCTTATGGTCATATTCAAAATCAGCATAGTAGATATAATTCGCTAACTTTCAGTGAGAAACCAATGGATTAGTTGAGAACGTTCTCTCATGAGTATAGGAATCGACATAAAATGGTTCACTCAATGAATTATTAAGCTCATCAGGTTGGTTTCTGACTCGGACTCGATGGGTTCTACCCTACACATTTCTCAGATGACTCGTCTGAGAAATGTGTAGAATGCATAACTCCCCAAATACAAAAAAAGTGTATCGTATTTTCAGAGTGGCTATCCTATTCCGATTAGAAAATTGCATTTGAAGTATCAAAATACGATTCGACAAGTTCTAATGAATTATCATATAAATATTTACTTGAGAATTAGCTGGAATAGAAACTTGTTCTGGTGGTAAAAGTATATCCGAATGTGAACATTGACCTTGAAATGTAACTTTATGTGGTAATGGATTTTCAAGTATAATATCATGTGATGTTTGTTGTCGTACATGTGTTGTTAATTCAATATTTGCTATTGTTGGTGCATTACGTTTATCAACAGTTGATTTAAATGTAATATCATACCAAATATATTCTTGTGTTTGTTCATTTTTAAAAATAATTTTTATTTGTTGTATACATTCTTTATATGAATAAAATTGTAATTTAAAATCACGTTTTGATTTAGGTGCAACATCAATAAATTCAAGATATTTTATTGTTGTTGCAACTTCTGGACGATCTTGTTTAATTGTTTCATGTGTTACACGAAAACGTTGTGGTTTTTTTAACCAATTTTCAATTGGTAATAATTCAACATATGGTGTTTTACATGGAACTTCACGTATAAATTTACCTGATGCACGTGGTGGTTCAGCATTACCAATAACATTATAAAGAAGACCATTTCCATCTGGTAATGGAAAAAATAATGTACCATTATGTTTACCTAAATATAAACAAAAAAACAAAAAAAAAATTTAAAATTTACTTTTTCATTATATTTTAAAAATTACCTTCAGTTAATGGTAAATAAGTTAATTCATAATTTTTTGTTGAATTTGGTTCAATAATAACTGTTTCTGATCCAGAAAAATATTCTCCACTTATTATAGGTGTTAATGTCCATAATGTATTTGTATTATTTTTTAAAACAATTGGTTTTGATAATTCTTTTGTACGTACAGCTGTTGATATAATAATTGTTTCACGTGCAGGTGCAACTTCAACACATGAACCACTTAATGTAACATAAACAGATTGTGTACCTTCTAATCGACATTCAAGTTTATCACAACGTATATCATGTCGAATAGTACGTGGTTGAAAAATAAATTCAATTGTTATATCTTGACCTGGTGCAATATAACCATTTGTTGGTAATACACGAAATGGTGTATCACGTAATTGACTAAGATTCCATGAAAATGAACCACCAATATCACCTCGATTAGATAAAATAAGTTTACGTGTTAATGAACAATCTTTACCAACAGCACCAAATGGTAATGTATCAGAATCAAGTGTTATATCATAACCTTGACAACAACCACGTACAGCAAACATTGGAACATCTAAATCACCATATTTTAAAAAGATTTGTTCAACAAATGGTGCTAAACGTGAACGAGGTGTAAATTTAACTGATACTGTTGTTGTACCACCTCGAGCTTTTAATGATATTGGACTTGTTGGTTGAATAGTTAGAATATCACGAGTGATACTATTTTCTGAAGGAAGTAATGTAATATAACAATTTGATATTTGTGCACGACTTCGATTAACAAGACAAACTTCACGTGTAACACTTTTACCTGCTTGTAATGCGCCTAAAATAAGAATACATCAAGTTCTTTTTTTTTCCTATATAGTAAAACTTCTCTATTGTAAACACTGTTGGGACTATTTAAAAATATTAACTATACAGAAATGAGTTCGAGTTCGAATTTAAATGAAGATTCAGAAAAACTAAAACTACTAAATTAATCCATACTCATCTTACACACCCGAATCCGCTCCTCGCACCCACACCCTCACCCTCAGTTAATCAATTACTCTACTTGAGTGTACATAGCCACTTCCTTATTTATTCTCTTGTTCATCTAGAGGATTAGAATTGAAAGGTTTTTCAATAAAAAAAAAAAAATCCTCTAATATGATTTATCTTTTAGCTATTCAATTAAAATAAACATAAGTTAAGTCAAATTCTCATTCATTAATTGATATATGATCATCATCATCATCAGCGCTACTATCCTATTCATAAGCATCCGATAGTATAAGGCGTTCAAATTTATGGAACGATGCATTAAATACAAGTTTATGTTTATCTCTATCATTAACTTTCATACATAAAATGTACTTTGTCATAGTGCATGAGAAACAATTAATAGAAGGTTATAATAACAAGAGGAATTGCAAAAACAGTGTTCACATTAGAGAGAAGCATTTCCAACAAAATCATTAGTGGAAATTTTACTGTAAAATATTTATTAATCTTACCTAAATTAAGTATTTTATGTTTTGGTTCAGCTAATTCAACTCGAAAATCAATTCCTTCTCCTTCAATCATAACATTAATTATAGTTAAACCATCAATTTCAAATTGAATATTTTCTCGATAAATTTTTTGTTCTCGTGGATAAAATGTAAATTTACAACTAATACTTTGTTTTGATGATATTAAACCTGTTTTATAATCTACCATTAATTGTGCTGTTGATTGATATAAACATTCAATTGTATGATCTTTTGTATCTTGATTTGTTATTATTAATTGACATGTATTTTCTGGCATACCAGCACGATAAATAAAACATGGACCAAAATTAAATGATAAAAATGAAAAATTTATATTTGGTGTTGTTGTTTGTCCAATAAGTAATAAATCATATTTTAAACCATTAATAATATTTAATTGTATTGAACGTTGTATTAATGAACGATGTTCACGTGTACGTGGTTCAAATGTTATTTGACATATTTGTTTTTGACTATTTGATATTGTACCTTTGATTGGTGTTATTGTAAATGGTGTTAAATTTTGTTCATTATCATATAACCAATTAAAATCAAATGCATATTTACCATCATTTGATATTTGAATTTGTCTTGATGCTATATTACCAATTAAAACATCATCAAAACGTATTTCATTTGTACCATTTTGTATAGATTTTAAATCATAACGATTACCATCAATTGTTTCACATTGTACATTTGATAAATTAGCAAAACCTTCACCTTTAATATTAACATTTAATAATTCAATTGTTTCATCAATACGACATTGTAAAACATATGTATATAAACGATTTTGTGTTGGACGAAATATTAAATGTAATGGTAAACGTGTATTTTCTGATATTATACCAGATGATGATGGTTCAATAATTAAATCATTATTTGTTGTACCATTAATAAAACATCGTTCAAGAAATTGATAATGAAATGAACGATTTTCTTTATTAATTAATGTTAAAATTTCTTCAACATGATGACCAATTAATGTTGGATGAAAAGAAATAAATGTTCGATCAAATAATATTTGTGGTTCATTAACTTGACCAACAAGTAAAAATGGAATAGATAATGAATGTTTCGGAATTTCAAAACGATACATTGATTCAATTATTCCAAATGAACGTGGAAAGAAATCAAATGACATCTACAAAAAAAAAAAAAGAAAATTAAATTTTTCAATTGAAGAAAAAAAAAAGATTTTTTTACTTACTAATACACCTTTGCCTGATCCTATTTTTCCTTGAACAGTACGACATACAAATGATGGTTGTCTTGTTAAATCAAGATTATCTTCACATATCCATCGATATGTATAATCAGTATCCGTTGGATTTAATACAGAAAATGACCTAGAAATTGTTTTATTTGATTGAATGATAAGATTATACTAACAGAAATGGCTGATTTTCTTTTAGATACAGGATTTTTCATTGACTTCTATTTCAAAAGAATCCAAAGAAGAATCGAAATCATTAATATGAGTCAGTAATATAGAAAGTATATTTTATTTCTCACTATAACTTATTATAGAAATCGCTCGGTTAAGAAAAATCGAATTAGCAAATGCCGCCCTAGTGTATTCTCAGCAGGGTATCTAACCAAGACCCTGTGACATAGTGATAACAAGGTATCCTGATGAAAACTAATCAATCGCTTTTGAATTCGGATTTAATACATAAAGTAGAATCAATTGAGATACGAAAAACTTCAAAAGGATAAGTCCTCTTATTAGTGGCAGAGCCAGAAGATTTCTGGAGGGAGTTAAGTCATTCTCAGAAAAATTTTTCAGAGGTTTATAGAGGCATCGAGCCACTCTAGCCCAAAATCACTCATATTCCACGGAAGATGTTAGAATTTTCTGTTTTCTACGAGTTTAATATCTCTGAAAGAAAATATTCTTTTGAGCTGAAATTTTCAGAACATTCTACTAACAAATATATTTGACTGTAGACAAAATATCATCATTCGAATTATTGCTATTTATCATGTCCGAGGCTAAAATTCTAATAAAATGTCTATAACTCTAGATAGAATGTCTAAGAGCATTTATCATTTTGAGGTTTTTCATATCTCACTAAACTCTACCTTATACCTGGGGTCCGAATTCAAAAGTGGTTGATTACATTCCCTCGCCAATGTATTTACTAGAGCGGAAATTCTGTAACTAGACACAAATCATTAAAGTTTTTGTTCTGTATTCAATATCAATCTAGACTTTTCTTATATTATTAGCTGAAAATATCTTAATTTAACTAACTTGTTAAGTGATGATCCAATACCAACAGCTTTAAATTCAATAACTCGAGTTTGACGATCAATAAATGTAGCTGGTGCTTGTGATGAACCAGTATTAACTAAAAGATCAAGACGTCGTCGACCGCTTGCTAAATAATCAGATTCTTCTAATTCAAAATGACAGAATGGTAAAATACTTCGACCACGAACAGCTACAACTGGTCCTGGTTTACCCGTTTCCAAATTTGGTATACTAAATAAAAGAAAAAGAAAATCAAAATCAAAATCTTCTTCTTCTTCTTTTTTTGTTTTAAATCAATATAAAACTTTAACTAACCAACAAGTCAATCGTGCTTGATAATCATTAACATCAAGTGGTGCAAATTTAATTTTAAATACTTGACTAGCACCAACAGCAATTGAACCTGTATCTGGTTCAACCGTAAATGGTATATAACCAACATCAGTCATTATACTTGGTGGTGAACGAACACTTGATTCAGAATCATCACGTGGTACTTCAGTAGTATTTGTACCTTCAGTAAAAAATGCTTGTTCATTTTCAGTTTCTTTTTCTTCAACTAAATTTTCTGTTGTTATATTTGATTTAAGTGATGAACGTGCAGCTTTTGTTTTACTTCCTGTTTGTCCATCTTTACCTGTTGATTTACTTGTTTCTTTTGTTGTTTTATCTTTTCCTCGTGATGTTGATGGAGCTGTTGGTGATTCTTGTATAGTTGATGAATCTGTTGTTGGAACATTTGTTGGTTGAGTACGAGCACCACCTTTATGTCCTTTTCTAGTACTATCTGTTGGTTCAGGTGTTGGTAGATCTCGTTCAATCATTGGAGTAAATGGTCGTTGATTATCTTCCATATGTATTTGCCATGAATAATTAAATGATACTTTACCACGATTTGTAATTGTTACTCTAAAATAGTTAATTTTTTTATTTATCGAATATTTTTGCAAAAAGAAAGACATACTCATGAATACGTGTTTGTAATATAGCTGTATCAAAATAACGAATTTCAAATTCACTACATTTATAACGACAATAATCAGCAATAGCAGATACATATATATCTAAAATACGTGTTTGTTCTTCAATACGTTGATGTGTTGGTTCAATATCAGCTTCAATAACTTTTTTTCTTGCTGGACGATTTGTACGTTGTATATCAGGATTTGTTGAATCAACAATAGGTTGTGAAACATCAATCCATCTAACTGAACGCATTCGATCATCCCAATCAGGAACTTCATTAATTGGACGATCAAATGTTATTTTTATTATTGAACAAAGAATTTTTTCTTTAGTTAATTGAATTGGTTTATTTGTTTTAAATGTTACTTGAATATCTTTTGTACAACTAGCATGAAGATGACCAATACGTGGTGAAAATGTACAATGAGAATGTTCAGGCCATTCAAATCGAACAGAATCTTTTTGATGATGATTAGTTATAGAAAAGAGAATTTGTCGTGTTTCATTTAAATGAACTTCACCAAAGTTTATTGTATTTGAAACTGAAACTATTTAAAACAAAAAAAATAAAATAATTATTTATCTATCAAACAGTAATAAACATATAAATTTTTCCACGTTCAATTCATAATCAAAATGAAAAATACCACTTCTGACACAATAGTAGGGCATTTGCTCAATAGATAGAAAATTTGTAGCTAGCAGAGATGTCCATAGCAGCGCAGTAGCGGCACTTTTTTTTTAAAACTACCGTAGCGCGAGAGATATTTCAAGCATACTATCGCGGCGGCATCAGCTTCTTTTTTATTGAGATTGTAAAATTGGATGAATTTGCATTCATGTCTACAAGTCCAACAGTAAGAATCGAGATTGAGTCTGATGAATTCAATCTAACTGTGCTAATTTGGCATAGTAACGAAAGCGATTTTATAAGAGTTTCTGGAAAGCCATCGCGGCAACGGCAACTTTTAATATAGTTCATAGTGTTGCGACAGCGCCCCGACAGCCTTTTCTCTTCTAGGACCGTGTCGTGATGGACATCTCTGTTATATACAGGCCTCCTAATCTTTCTCACCCTAATCTTAATTTCCTTCCTGACAGTCCCTTTCAGGGTTGTCGAGTGGAGGGCGGAAAAACGAAACCAATCATAGCCCGGCTCCTCCTCGTACTGTAGACAACTTGGCACATTCCTATTCATGTCACAACAACATTGTCTGTTTATTTTTATTTTACTTTCCATCGGCGAAATGCAACTGATGTTTCAAAATCCTCCAAAATTGCCACGAAACTGTAAAAAATTGGCAGAAAGTCAGACGGAAAAGTCGTCAATCCCTCCTATTCAAGAACTCTGATTCCGCTCCCATTGGTTCCTCAATATCACAAGAGCATCTATGTGAGATATGACAGTCCTGTTGCTTTTCTATTGATAGAAACATCTAAATATCTTCGATATTTACCTGGTGCATCTTCTTCAACAATAGTCTGTTGACCACTTTCGATAGCTAAAGTTTCATCACTCATAACTAATCCATGAATATTATCAAGTGTAATATCATCAGTATAACTTTCACCAATTAATTGAACAATTGTATCTTCATATTGATTATCAACAACAACAAGTCGAAGTGCAGCTTCATATCGTTGTGGTCCTTGTGTTGATTTTGGTTTAAATAAAATATCAAGTGCTAATTTTTGACCAATTTCAAATATAGCTGAAGCAGCTGTAGCTTTTCGTGTTAAATCATTAATAACAAGAATTTCAGGATGAGGATTTTCATTAGATGTTTCTATTGAAAAAACATTTTCAACATCATGTAAATAAAAATCAACCTTAAAATTAAAAACAAAAGTAAATTTAATAATTAAATATATTCGAAATAGATTTACTTTAGCAGGTAAAACACCATCATTAACTAAAAGAAGTTGTTGTGTTCCTTGTCGACCAAGTAATAATTTATTAAAAATCATCATTGCTTGTGCTTTTTTATTTCTAATAGCTGGTCGTAAAATAGTTACACGAGGTAAATGACCTTCACCATGAATTTCAAATGAAAAATTTGGTGGAATACGAGTATCTTTATTTGTTTTTAATTGTCCATCGACAATAACATCAAATATTGCCGAATAAGATTGCATAGATGTTGGAGTAAATGAAACAACAGCATAATAACTACTATATGGTGGAATTTGTGCACGATTAGCATCAAGTTCAAATGCTTCAACTACTCGTTGACTTTTACTTGTTGGACGTAAAGCAAGAGTTATATCAACTGGTACCTGAAAAGAAGTTATTTATTTCTTTTGTTAATAAATTAAACAAAAATACTTTTTGTGAATTTGTAATTTTAAATCGTGCTTTTGCTGTTCGACTAACGATAACATTTCGAAATTGAAAACGACGTTCTTCTTCACCATAGACACCTCCTGTAACCACCTAAAATATTTCATAATTAAATAAATCTATTTAGAAAAAAATATATATATATAATTACATCAGCAATATTTTGAAATGATGAAAGATTTCGAACAAGACGATGCTCTTCAAATATGGATGATATATCACTTGTATCAATTTGTGGTACTATTAATTCACTCTTTAATTTATATACAAGTCCTTGTGGATAATCAGCTGGATTTTTATCAGCAATATCAATAAGAATTTCCTAAAAGAAAATAAAACAATAATAATAATTAAAAAATATCAAAATTTCATTTGATTGAAGCGAATGATGAGGTAATGCGCTTTAACTGTCCAATTGCTTAAAACTATTACCAGTCGGTCAATCTTGATGAGCAGTGAAAAAGTTTGGTTTTCGCTTGTTGTTGCGGTAGGCAAGCTTAAGTTTAGTTCTGATCTAGGAACTGCTGTATTGATAAATCTTTATTCTGTTTCGGGAAATCGATCTTTCAGGTTTTAAAAACCTTTGTCTCGTTACTGAAATGCAATAAAATTTTTCGGACAGCTCAATTCCTGAAAGTGAATTTTTCGAAATAGTTCTTTCATCTAAGTACATGCACTGGAGCTATCCTAGGTTTTTATTCGTTTTTCCGCCCTAAGAGTATAGAAGTGCTGAGAATCTGGATGAACTAAACTTTTATCCATAGATAAGCTGTATCGTTATTAGAAACACTTCGAAGTTTGAGCTAGGACAAACGATCCGTATCGAGCATGGAAATGTCCTTCTTTTGAAACATAGCCAAATACAAGAAAAAAAACTATCAACTTGAAAGTCAATCATTCAGATTCTCAGCAATTCTATGATAATATGGAAAAAATCGAATAAAATGCTCTAAATTCAAAAAGTGACGGCCGAAAAGTCAAATGCAAACATCCTTTTCTCATTATTCACCATGATCGATCGAATAGCAAAATAGTCTCAAGCGAAAAACGATTCATATCACCTATGAGTCATACGACATCAATTAAAATTTCTAGAATATAATGGAAATTTGTATAACACTATCAGCATTAGAACCCATCAGATCCGAACCTAGCCGGATCCAAAGTTTTATTTTTTGTTGAGCCCGATTACACGTTTTTATGAACCCGCTGATCCTCAGATAAGAAATTCAGCAACAAGATAAAACTGTACGGAGAGTAGTAAATAAATAGCTAAAACCTCGATCCTTTACTTATTCGTGTACACGAAGGATACCAGATACTGATGGTCAAAAATCTCGGGTTTGGACCCGCACCTCCCTAAACAGAGTATCTTGAATTTAGTACATTTCCTAGGGTAGATAACTATTTGATTTTTATTTATCGAATCATAGATAGACAAAAATTGAATTTTATTTTTAGTATTAAGCATAATTAAATAATAGAATTACTTCTTCAAATTTTCTTGGTACATCTGATTCAGGTATACATTCAACAGATACAGTTGTATTTCCATTTGGCATAATCATAGCAAATGCTGGTGAAATTATAAATGGACCAACTTGTAAACGACCTTGAGTTGGTACATCTCTATTAAAATACAAAAAAAAAAACAAAAATTTCGAATTTATTTTATAATTTGAATTTTTTTCTTTAATGTGTAAAATAAGTGAATAAAAAATAAAATCGTGTATGTGGAATTGATTCATTTTTCATTTGTTTAAAATTAGTTGGCAAAAAATAAATAAATAAATAAATAATAATTTGATACCTTGATTGATCATATTTTCGTACTGTTTTTGCACTCATTGCTGAATCAGCACGATTAGGTGGTGAAACTTTTTTATATTCTCTTTTTATATTATTATAATAAGAAATATTTTCAATAAAAGAAAATTAATTAAATTAAAATGAATAATAACTTACTTAAGATTTAATTTTTGTGGTGAAGCTTCACGTTGATATTTTGATATAATATATTTAAAATCATGTTCACCATGATTTTCAATTATAAATTTTTCTATACGACGAGAAGTACCCATTGGCATTGGACCAAAATTAACTTCTTTTTCAGGCATTAAAACAAATCTATTCAATAAAGCAATTTTATGTATATGAAGATAATAAAAAAAAAAAAGAAAATAACTTACTTGCTATATGTTGCTTTAGCTGAAATTTTAAGTCGAATACGTGCTACTTCTTCTTCGACTGGTAATGCAACTGGTTGTTGTTGAGTCGTAGCAATATTTCGTATTGCACCTGCTTCACTACCACCTTTTAATGTACTTTGTGATGCACCTATATGTGTTGTTGATTGATTAAGTTGTCCACCACTTTCTGTTCCTTTAGGCACTGGTGCTACATTAATAACACTAACAACAATAATTTCAGCTTCACGAAGATGTATTTCAGTTGTTGGTTTGAAGATAATCTTTTAACAAAAAAAAACATTTTGATATGTTCTATAATCTGAATGGATTCTTAAGCTGAAAAGTTTGTTAGTTTAGAAAATCAGTAGATGAAGACTTATGACGATTTCTCATAATCATATTCGAACCAATTGCTTTCGATTGATCAATTGAAAATGTTCGTTAGAATTTGCATTCAATTACTTTCGAAAGATAATTGAATACTTACATTAACAGAAGTTGCTTGAGCATTTCGATCACCACCAGCAGCTAAAGTACCTTGTTTAGGTACAATTTCAAAAAATTTACTTGTATCAATTTTTGATTTTGTATCAGGTACTAATTCAAATCTAATTATTAAATTAATCAAAATATGAAATTAATTAAATAATTATACAAAAATTTATACTTGTATTTTATTTCTCGTTTGCCTTTATTTTTAAGTATACATGATTGTTTTGTTTCTTGATTAACACGTACATTACCAAAATCAATACCACGATCATTACCTTTTTTGAAATGTCATATCCAAAACAATATCATATGGTTCAACAAAAACAGGAATATTAACAGTTTTAATAGCACCTGGCATACCTTCTGTATCTGATATCTATTGAAGAAGAAAAGAAAATTTCATAAATAAATAAATAAATAAATAAATAAATTTACTTCAAGTTTAAGTTGAAGTTTATTTTTTTGTGATGCTGGTGATCGTGGTCGACTAGCATAATAATTCAATTGTAATTCATATGTACTCAATGGTTCAACAATGCCCGTATCAGTTTTAGTTGAAAATTCTTGTCCAATACCATCTTGACCAATACCTATTAGACGCCATCGAACGGGAATTAATTTTGTATTTTTAAGTCGTATAATTCGTGATTCCTTTCTATAAAAATAGAAAATTTTATTTTTAATAAGAATTTTTAAAGATGAAAATGCTTGATAGTTTCTTAAATAATAAGAGAAGCCACTATGACTGCGTAGCTATGTAGTTTGACTAGGAAGGTGCCGGTCCTTAGATGAGAAATTCAGCAACAAGATATAACTGTACGGAGAGTAGCGAATAAATAGCTGAAACCTTAAGGTCCATAAAAACGTGGATTTGCAGCTCTACGTTATGACATACCGCTACTCTTGCGACTAGTTAGTGTGTATGGGGAGCTGCGGATCCAGGTTTTTATGAATCCGGACCCGATCGGATCCAAACTCGAGGTTTTTTTTCATCAATATCTGGCACCCTTCGTGTACACGAACAAGTAAAGGATCAAGGTTTCAGCTATTTATTCGCTACTTTCCGTACAGTTATATCTTGTTGCTGAATTTCTCATCTGGATAGCAGTGGGTACATAGAAACATATTACCGGGCCCGGATCCGCAGAACTCTGTCCCAGGCTGGCTACGGAAGACACAAAAATATTGTTTCAACATGAAAATAACACTTTTGTACTTTCCGCAAGTATCATCTATCTTGGTCAATAAAAGTCGTAGAAAATTGAAAGAGATTTTATTTTCCTCTCTCGTTTCGGTTAATTCAAACAGTATTGTATAATTTTAAAAACTTGAATTCGATATGAGTATTTGAATTTTTATGAATATTTACGATAGTGGAAAAAACAAAAATTGATTATATTTATTTACCTATAAAGTAATACTTGACCAAAATCAAATGATGTTGGTTCAATTTGTAATTCAGGTGTACAACCATCACAACATAATTTATAAACAATTGGTTCAGGATTTTCTTTAATACAACAAACAAGTGAATCTTCAAAATGACCTTCTCTTGGTGGATTAGCCATTATTTTAAGTGTCTATGATAGAAAAAAACGAAAAAAAAAATAGATTTTTTGTTTAATTTCTTAATACTTTTGATTCTCCTGATTTTAAATGCATTTCACTTGGTTCAAGAAAGAATGCTGCTTTTGATGGTTCAACTTCATTTAAAAAACAAAATAAAGCTTCAACATCCATTGGTGATGTATTATCAATTGTTAATGTTTCAATATTAGATGGATAAGTACCAGCACGTATTCTTAAAAAAAAAATTTCATTAGATAATTTCATTTTAAAAATTAATTTTACATACTTATTTATATCTTTACCAAGTACTAATGGACCAAAATCATATTGTTCAGTTGAAAGTATAAATTTTTTATGTACAATTTCATTTGGTTTACGTGTTTTTTGTCGATTAGGAAAAACAGTTCTATATAAAAATGAGTAAGTTTTTTTTTTTTTCGATAGAAATAATAATAATAATAAACAAACTAACCGAGGTTCTCGACTTATTGTTGGAAATGTACATACACCTCGACAAAATATTTTATAATTCCGTTTTGTACCAACAATTTCAAAAGATATTGTTTGATCAAATTGTCCAACTTCACTTGAAATAAAACGAAGACGAATACGAACTTCACTATTAGCAGGAATAATCCAACGAAAACGAACAATTCTAAAATAAAAAGAAAACACAACCAATTCCTTTGTTTCTTTCAAATTAATAGAAAAAAAAAACCTTGGTAAAAGTTTTTCAAGACTTGATTCACTTGCTCCATCTTGTCCATCAGATGAATGATGTGTTGGCGATTGTTTTCCACCAAAACGACTACCGGCCTTCGAAGTTACACGTGCTGTTGTTTTACCTTCACTACTACCACCAGGTCCACCACTTGTCTTACGTTTAGCTGTTGTTATAGATTCTCGATCACCTAGATCAATTGAAAAGTTTTTATTTTTATTTTTTTTTCTCTAAGTAAAATACCTCGACTACGTCTTCCTTTTGGTCCAGTATCTTTTCCATCAACATCATCAGCAGTATATGGTGGTTCTGGTGTTTTACTATCTTTTAATTTACCATCTTCTGGATATAAATTTCTAATTAAAAAAACGAATAGAAGAAAGAAAAATGATTTTGTTTGATATGAATTATATATTTACGGATCATTTTCATGTGTAGCAACAAAAAAATATTGTCCATATTCAGCACAAGGTGGATTAGTACGTAGTTCAGGAAATGGTGCAACAGAAAATTCAAATGGTCTAGGAACAGGTGGACCACGTGGACCTTGACCCATTCCATCGAGTACCTAGAAAACAAAAAATATATATATTTATATAATTTTTTCACAGTCAAATTTTCTTTGATAGAAAGTAAAATTAGCAGAAAAATATTTTTCATTTAAAATTCTAAGCTAATGTTCTGCTATAGTTTTGTCTTTGAAATGATTACAAAGCGAATATCATTTTCGTTTCGATCGTATAGAGTTTTCACTTAATTCTTTCGACAATTGTTCCATCATAGAATGATCGACAATGGCTAATGTATTTCGGATATGCTTATATAAAAATTTCGAGATGCTTGAATTGAATAGTCATCTCAATCCATAACAAAATCTTATTTTGATTAGATTAGTAATGATTCATTGCATTGTGGACTAACAATTGAACTAGTTTTCACATTTTCTTTACCTGATTATATTCTTTTTTAGCTGATCAAGATATGAAATCATATTAAACATTCGTAATTGGCATAAAAAAAAAAGGAAGATGAATTTCTTTTTAAACGATGAAAAATGCTCATTTTTGTTTGTTTTTGGAAGCTGAAAAATTCGAAGATATTTTCGTTAAATTTCTATTTCCTGCAGTCGCGTTCAAATGACCTTCGGTTGGTAGTATTAGGGTGTTAAAATCTAATTCATCAACAACTAACCAATCAGGTGAGTTCTTTGCGAAAAAAGATATTCTGAAACAATTTTCCATTGGACTTTCACTTAAAATGTGATCAATCAATAGGAGAAAATCTTCTCTTTCGATTTTGCGCAAATCTTAACTTGTTAGCACGTTCAGTTTAAGAGTTACAAGGTTTTTCCGAGATTCTCAATACGAGTGAATTGACTTTGGAGCGCTCTAAAAGAGTTCAAGACAGGGATAATTCATCATGCTGAGTCGGCTGTACGGAGAAAATTTTTAGGATTTGAGAAATACTGAAATAGTCGTCTCCGATCATTTTCAAATTGGAAATAAACATCACTATCCGATTCGGCATGATGACTTATCTCTGTATTGAAGAGAAGAATTTTCCCTATCGATTGGTTACGTTTCACGTTAAAGTCCAATGGGACATAGTTTCAAAATCTCCGTAAAGAACTCACCTCATTGATCATATGTAGATGCGCCCCGACCGTCTTACTTGAATAATGAAAACCGTCGGTCTCTATGATATTCCTATCGAAAGTTATTCAGAAAACTGTAGAGTGCATTTCAGTAATAATCATCAAATGAACATCGTCTCAGTCAAAAAGCAAGTTGACACCTAAGGAGATTTTCCTCGTAAGTTTCATTAAATGATTAACAATATTTTTTCGAATGAAACATTCAGATTTTTTGAATTAATTCATCAATTTGAAAAATAATATTACTTGATCTAAAACTGGTAAACGATTTTTAATTGAATCCATTAATTCTGATGGTATTGGTTGATTTGAACTATAATCTATAGGTGTATCAATTTGAATTGTTGGAATATTAATAATTTCATCTGATCCTGAAGGTGATTGTTTCTTTGAATCATCTTTAATTGGTTGTCCACTTTCATCCTTTTAAAAATATAAAAATTTAATTTAATTTTTTTCTAGAATTTTTCTTTTCTTACAAGATTTGTTGGTGTTATACTTGCAAGTTGTTGTTGATTAGGAGTACCTATTTGACCAGTTTCATCTGTTTTTTCAAGTTTTTCTTTATCTTTTGTATCAGATTTTTTGCCTAAAACAAAAAACAAAACATATAAATCAATTTTCAATAAATTAAATTTAGCAAAAAATAAGAAATGCAAATAATAAATATTTAAAGTACATGATTTTCTCATATATAAATCAGATGATGGTAATCGAAAATTTCTTCTTGTAAATACTATATGCGATTAAATAAAATTCATTTTTTCTAATGTTCAACAATTGAATTCTATAAAAAATAAATAAATAAATTTTCAAATACCTTTATCTTTCTTTTGTATGGGTTTTTTCATAGCTGTACCAGTTCCCATTGCACCAAACATATGATCTTCGTCAGATTGATTTGTTGGTGTCGGTGGACTTCGTGTTATACCTTTTGTTCGATCCCATAAATCAAAAACATTTAATAAATCATTACGATAAAATTCAAATGTTTTAAATCTATAATTAAAAAGAAAATAAAAAGAAAAATGTTATTGTTTTTTTTTTGATTTACTTGACTAATAATTCTCGATCTTTTTTCTTTTCTTTTTCATCATCAGCATCACTTGTAACTGATGCTTTAGCTAAATTTGTTGAAGTATCTGTATCATCTTTTACAGTAGTTTCTTTAGCAGATTTTGAATCACCTTTAGTTGTCTTTTTTCTACAAAAAAAAAAAAAAAAAATATGAATTTTTTCATTTTCTATTATAAAACAAATTTTATTTCTTACTTTTCACTTTCTTCACTATTTGTTACTTCAACTTTTACATTAGGTCGATCAGAAACAGGTGGACCTCGTGCACTAATTAATGTTGGTCGTGCACTTGTTTTTCCACCAGCAGTATTAGCTGCAGCTGCAACTGCTGAAGCACCTTTATCACTTCCACTTGCAGGTGCAACTCCAGTTTTACCTGCTGCTGCTGGATTTGAACCAGTTTTTTTCTGTTTTTTTCTAAAAAAAGAAAAATCAAAAAAAAGAAATTGAATATAAAAAAATGAAATACATACTGTAATTCAGCTTCTTTTAATAATAAACGTTCTTGTTCTAATCGAGCTTTTTCTTCTTTATTTCGTTGTTCTCTATTAAGAAAAAAAAAAAGCATACAGGAAAAATAATATAATAGAGTTCATACTTAAGAATACGATCTTTTTTTCGTTGTAATCGTTTTTGATCAATACGTTGTTTTTCTTCTTCGGGTAATGCATCATATTCATCTTCACCCATTTCTTCAACATATTCATTTTCATTTTGTTCTCGTTGTTGTTCTTCAAAACCTAAATATAAAATATTAATTATTTTTATAAGAAATAATATACAAAAAATAAAATGAAATATCATACGATGAATTTCATCAGCTCTAGCTTGAGCTTCTTTGTATTTTGAATAAGAAAAATTTGTTATTATTGCATAAATATATGAACGATTATTAATAGCTTTAAGAACTGCAATTGCTGCTTGTGCAGAATTAGCAAGAAATGATGTTTCAAGACTATCGAATACAACACCATGAATACAATCAGCTCTCTATTGAAATAGAAATATATATAGTATAAATTTATATCAAAAATATTTTGAATCTATCAGGAAGAACAAAATTTGTCTACTAGTGATCATCGATTTTATTAATAATCACACAATATTTTTCAAATTATTCACCATCGAAATTTGATTGGTCAGCAATTTACGTAGGTCTGCCATTCCTAATTTGTTTCGTTCGAAAGTTATAAGACTTTTCCTGAAACCTGCGATCGCCCGGAAGAGCAATTAGGTAGGAATAATTCATCATGCTCAATCAAATGGTGTAATATTTGTTTTTAGGTTCGAAATGATTTGACACTCTTATCTCAATATTTTGGAGCCTCACAATCAGCATCCCAAAGATGGACTCGAGTCTTCTGTTTTCAATATTCTGTTCTTATCAAAATAATGGAGAACATTATATTTTGAAGTAGATCGTAGTTTTCCTAGTCGAGACTCCCTGGGGGAGTTCAGAGATTGAAAATTTTAGAGAAACTCCCCGGGAAGTTTTAAGGGGATCCTTAGATATGCGACTCCCCGGTGATTTCGTTTTGGAGAGTCAACTAGGGTTTTTTTGTTACCTGAAGTCTTGCAGCAAGAATTTCAACAAAAATATCTTCTGTAAGAACATATGTCATAAGTTCTTCTTGATCATCAGTATCATCTAGATTATCATCTGTTTCGTTTCGTGTTTCAGATAAATCTCCATTTATATGAGATAATGGATTTTTATGTATTTTAAATTTAACTGATGGAGGTGATGTTAATGGTTGTGCTTCAATAGTTGTTGGTTGAGCATTTGGATCAACTACTTCAGATGTTTTTTTCTTTTTATCTGGAACTTTTTTAGTATGTGTACCTAAAAAAATAAAAGAATCGAATTAAATAAAGAATATATTTCAAAAATAATAAATTCCAAAGAAAAGGCAAGAGTAAGAGTTCTTTTAGTGCTGATTAAAAGTCTAAGTTTATAGATTGATTGGTGAAATACATTCGATAAGGGATTGTTTTTTTATTCATAGTTTAAGAAAATTATTGATTATTATACCTAATTGAGTAGTTGGAGCATGATCAACATCAGCTTCTATTGTTCGTTGTTCTTCAACATGTTTTTCGAATGCATCATGACACATTAGATAAGCACGTTGAGCATATTCACTTCGTTGTGAACTATCAATAGCATCAATAATTACTTGATCAAGATTTAATAATGCACATTCATAACGTTGACTAATTTCACGTGATATCATTGTTTTTCCTATAGGAAAAAAAATATTCTTTTTCTTTCCTACATATTTTGTTTGTTTTTTTTTCTTTACCTGAACCAGGTGGACCATGAACCATAACAGCAATACCACGTCGATTACGTGCTTGTATTCCATCTGAACTTAAATCAATACCTAAATGACGAGCTAAAGCTTGTGCAACAGGTGTCATATCATAATTAATAATTTTTTCTGCAACACGTTTTAATGTTGTTTCACTTTTATCAGCAATCGATTCAGTAGGTTCACCAATAGAATTTGATGTTGTTCTATCACCAATACGTTCACCACTTGTTGTTGGTTGTTGTGATGCAGAAGTTAATTCAACACCATTGGATTCAATTCCATCCATAGGAAATGGTGTTTCTAAAAATTTATTAAAAGAAAATAAATTAAATTAAACTATTATTATTTTCAATCATGAATTTCGTTTTAAACGATGAAAAAAATGCTAAATATTTTTTTGGGAGCTGAAAAATACAAAGTTGTTTTCGTTAAATTTCTATTTCCTACAGTTGGATCCTTAAAATGATGATCACTGAGAACCATCTAGCTCAACAATTCCAGCATTCGGATCCATGAATATCTGGTAGGTTCCCCATCGGAATATGATAGGGACTTGGAAGTATGAATCTCGTTAGTTTCGATCACAGGATCCCTGCTTTCAAACAGTGTTGGATCTAGAATTTTGGAAAAAGAAGGCGACCAACATCACAAAACGTGTTTTGAAGTCTATTAGAGATCGTATCGGCTCAGTTTTTTGGTATTTTCTGCTGAGAAAAATATTTCGAAGGAGAGAGATAATCATCCACACTGCCTCCCTATTAAATCCGCCACTGCTTTTAAATTCCTGCCATCTTTTCAAGGCCTTCGATTCGTACTCTCTGACTAGAGTAATTATGATTAATTGAAATATAGTAAGATGTAGTTTTTATATGCAAATTCTTACCATCTGTTCTTTTCGTAACATCTCCTTGTTTTTCTTCTTCTGCTCGTTTGACTACATCTAAATCATATCAACACGAGTTATATATACATATATATAGATTTATAAAATCATTAAATAACATTTACCTTCATAAAACTTTTGTAATTCAGCTGGTAATTTATCTCCTGCAGCTCGTGTTGGTAGAAGAATATTATTATTTTCATCATAACCCGGTAAAAGACGAAGAATCTTAAAAAGAAATACAACAATTAATATAAAAAGAGAAAATAATTCTATAATATATATATATATACTTTTTCTTCTTCAAGATATTGTTTATCAAATTCAAGATTATAAATTTCAATTGGAAATGGACATGGATTACGTATAACAATATCTTGTTCATCACCTTGACTATGTGTTAAAATTGGATTAAAAACAATTGATGTTGTTGGTTCAAATATATCACCATGCATTTGTCCAATTATAACTTGAGGTTCAAGACCTACACCACGACATATTATCATTAAACGTTGACTACTTTGATTAATACGTAATAAAACACGTGATTCATAATTTGTCTAAATATAATATATTATTATATTTTTGATAGAAAAAATTGAAAATTTACTTCTTCAGTAGGTGTAAATTTAATTTGAATATTTGTTTTATTACCAGGTAGAAGTATACCAGATGGTGGTAAAACTTCAAAAATGCGTGTTGATGGTTTTCGTCGATTAGCACTAGTATTTCCACGTCGAAGAAAACGACCTACTTGTTTACCATTTGAATCTTCCTTTAAATTAAAATCAATAGAATTATATGGAATTAATTAATCTTTATTTAAAAACTTACTCCTGGATATGCAGCAATCCATTCACATCGAATTTCTTGTGGATTTCTTAATTGTATTGTTGCAATTTTACATTCACCACATTTAACAGTACCAAAATCGAGTGTATCATTTGATATATTTAAATCTGGCATTGTTACAATAGCTTTAAGACGTAAATGAAATGTAGGACCAGACGTAACCTAATATTAAAACAAAAAAAAACAAAGAATATTCAATTCTTAATGTTTAAATCGAGTTTTAATGACGACTTGAGGAAGACCATAGGTTCAGAAAACCGAATCATCTTAGGCTTCACATATTTCTATAAAAGCACTCAATGTTAAAGAAGAATGACTTTTCTCAAATCCCAAACAGATAAAAGCGAAAGTTTCTTGTTTACGAATCGATAGAATGGCAAAAACAATTTTTTTCAGAGATGTTTATACTTTCAATTTTTCATTCTAAGATCGGATTTTGAAAAGTAAAACTCCTCTTTACCTCAACTGGTACTCGACATTCTACAGAACCCAATTCAAGATTAGCTCCACGTGGATCAAATGTAATTGTTATTGGAATAACTTCACCAGGAGGTAAATTTTTAATATGATCACAATCAAATGAAAATCCTGTATTTTTATATGATAATCGATCAACACGAAATGTAATATTATTATTTGTTGGATTTTTTATATGAATAATTTGTTGTCGAACAGTTCCCAAAATAATATAATTAAAATCAACAATATAATCAGGTAAAATAGGTATTGATTTAGTAATTGTACTTCGTTTTGATAAACTTGTTGTTGATACTGATAATGATTGATTACTTAAATTTATTGATTGTTGTTGTTGTTGTTGAAATAAATTTGATTGTTCAATAGATTCAACAAATTGTGAATTAATTTCATTAGATTTTTCAATAAAATTTTTTACAATAAGTTTATCAAGTTGATTTTGTAGAAATGTTTCATTATCAGATTTTTCTTTTATTTGTTCATATAATTGTTCTTCAATAGAATTATTTATAATAAAACGTGGTAAATCAATTTCTAAACGATTAAACATTCCTGTACCAATTAAATGTATTTCATCTGGTTGAAAATGTGCTATTTGTAAATATAAAATTTTTTCAAATTTTTCAGGTAGATTTGGAAGAAATTTTATTGTTATTATTGTTGATGTATATGGTTTACATATACCAGATTCAGGTTCAACATCAATTTGTGCATATTGTTGATTATTATTTAAATTATTTAAATTTAAAAAATGAAAATCTAATGGTACACTACCAACATTTGTTAATGTTAATGTATGTGTTGTAGTTTTATCAAAAGGTATATCACCAAAATTAAGTTCATGTGTATTTAAACGATATGCCATATATGATGCTTGACCATGAAGATAAAGTTCATAAACAGGACCATTTTCTATTTGACATATTGCTTTAACAGCTGTTTTTATACCTGGATGACCATAAAAACGAATAGCAGTTTTTTCAATTTCACTGTAAAAATAAAAATAAAAATCTTTTCTTTTTTTTTTTCTTTATTATTAGATTTACCCTGGTTGAAGACAACCAAAAAATGGTGAAATATCAAATATTTCTTCGAGTTTAGGAGTAAGATTTGTTGTATCATATGTAATTTGTTGTTGTTGTTCAAAATTTTCTGACCATGGTCTACTTTGAATTTGTGTTTGATTTAATTGTGGTGATGATATAGTTGTTTGTGGTTGTGGTTCAAATGTATAATTACGATCATTTTCATCAAGAATAAATGCCCAAAGATATTTTACAGGTAATGGACTTACATTAACCATTGTTACATATCGAGTTACTTCAGTTCCATTAAGTATACATCCAAAATCAAGATCAGTATGTTCAATTAATAAATTTGGATAATGTACTTCACCATGTAAATTTATTATATCCTAAAGATGAAAGTTATTAACACAATTCTGATAGGATTAAAATGTGAAACATGACGTGACTGTTGTTGCTAACTAAAAGGAGATTATTTTATTCTATCTATTTTGGGATACATTTCTTCACTATCCTTACTATTTTATCCTTCAAAAATGCACAAACGAACGAGTTCATATACTATAACGAGAAGTTATGGATATACAGTCTGTGATGTGAGGAAGAAAGGTAGAACGCATCGGATCCAAGAATTTCTGGACCCGAGTCCGAGTAGAGCCCGATGGATTCTAAAGGACGGTTGAAATTTTTACTTCTATATTTCATCATTTCGTTTAGATTATCAAACTTACAGTAAAAGCATGTTCTTCATAGGTAAAAACTAATTGTTCATCACATTTCCATGATAATTCTTTTGTATTTGCACTTGGATCAAAATAAACATTTTCTGTATAACTCATTCCTGTTAATATTTTAACTTTTTTTGTTAATGTAAAACCTGGTGGTATATCTGGTGTTGTTTCATCTATACTATCTAATGGTGTTGTTGAACTTGAATCATCATTTGATTCACTTTTTAATAAAAATGGATGTTTTACACGTAGATTAGCTGTTAAATCAATAGCTGATATATTTGAAAATGTTAATTCTGATGATATTAATGTATGTAAACCATCTATTATTGTTTGTTCATTATATTCAACACGAAAATAAAGATCTGTTTTTGAAAATGACATTAATGGTTCAACAAATTCACAATGAATTTTTAATGAAAGTAATTTATCACGACCTGTTGAACGACCAATTATAGCTAGACAAGTAAATATTTCATCGACAATTTTTGGTTGTACTGCAAAACCTGTTATAGTTAATAAACGTGTTTCACCTGGTGCAAATTCTAATCGTTCTGGTTCAAGACGAAATGTTTGATGTGATGAACGATTTAATTCTGTTTCTTTATTATTATTGATCTTTATTTTTCTTGGTACACCATATGCTGCTGCTGTATCACCAGCTGGAATAAAATGAACAGCTAATTGACGACGTCCTTTATTTGTAAAATTTATTCGTTGAATAATTGATGTACCAACAAAACGTGAACCCAAATTAAGTGTTGGAAATATTGGAATATCAGGTACAATTAATGCACCTGTACCTTGAGCTGTTACAGACATTGTACGTGGTGAACTATGTTCAACATGAATGATTAATTCTTCATTAAATCTAATTAAATAAAATACGGTTTTTTTTATTATTATTAAAGAATTGAAAAAAGTTTTTTTTTTTTCTTTTACTTTAATCGATCATTAAGTTTTGCAATAACACGAACGTCAAGGGATGTATGTGGTTCAACAACACCTGTATTAGGTATACATGAAAAACAAGAATTTTTCTTATCAAATTCACAATGAAATACAGCTGGAATAGGAGATTCATTTGATAATGAAAGAATTTGTGTATGTTCATCAAGTACACTTATTGTACCAAAACGTATTTCATTTGGTTCAATAAATAAAACAGGTCCTGTACCTGTTGCTGTTACTTCTAATTCTAATGGAGGATCACGTGCACCAACTCGATGAATTTCAATTTTTTCTGTTATATCACCAAGTTGTTTAATTGTAATTGTTATTGGTATATCACGTATTGTATTTGCATCAATAACACCTTCACTGTCATTCGATTGAAAATGTAAATGTCCAGAATGTGGATATAAAAATTGATAACGCATTGGTAGACTTGTAGAATTTTGTAAACGAATATAACGTTCATTAGGATTATTTAAAAATGTACGACCCAAATCAAGTATATCATTATGAAGTGTTATACGAGGTACAGTACTCCTATAATTAGTAAAATTTATATATTTGTTATTTAAAATAAACTTTTATATTAGTTTGCAATTCGAACAGTCAATAAAAATGAGCTCAAGTGTTAATTGCTCGAAATGATATAACATAAAATTACTGTTGAAAGTTATATTCTTTCATTGAAAATCTATTTCTGTTCAGTCTTCTATATATACGGGGGGTGAGTCTAACAAAGAAATCTTTCCAGAGGTAGAGCCTATTAAGTCCAAGAATTTCTGGACTCGGATCCTATGAGCTCTATCCAGAGATGCTAAAAAGCTTTTGAGCTCAAATTTTGCTGAGATATCGACTTTTTACTAAAACTTTCCGATCAGTATACATTTCGACGATGTGACTATCGACTATCCGTATTTTCGGCGGTGTCACTGTCGACCATCGGCAATTTTTATACCTATGATCGAATCGACCAGTCAACAACTAACTTAAGTGAGTGATACAATAAGTTAGAAACCAAGTTTATTTAGGAACCACGTTAAATTAGTCATTAACTTGATTCAATGCTATCCCAGGTCAATCAATCCTAACTAACGGATTCTGGTGCGGATATCGCCGGAATCTGGCAAAACCCGACAAGAATAGACAGGATTCGGTCGGATTTGGCCGGATTCCGACGATATCCGACGTCGGAATCCGTTAGTTAGGATTCCGGCAAAATCTGTACAGGTTCCAGCCGGAATTATTTGGAACCGACAGGATCCGATCCGGCGTGATTGACCTGGGTAACTCTAATAAGCTAGTAGATGATCGAAATGAATTCGGTGATCTGCATTTCGATGAACTTCGTACCGACAATCTGTATTTCTGTGATGTTGATTTCGACAATGAGGCATACGACCAGGTTTCAATCAGATTAACTTGCCTATAAAGTTTTAGAATTTCTAGATCACGAAGATTTTTGAAAAAAAATTCATTTCTCGAAGATAACTCATCCAAAAATTCTGAAACTTTGTAGACAAGTTAGTCTGCTTTGGATCTCGATGCTTGTAAAGTTTCACGCCAAAACTCGAAACTATGATTTTATCGAATTTTGAGGTTTATCTCTATCGAATAATTATATTGGTTTTCCAGGCTAACAAACTTTTCGCTAAAACAAAAAAAATTTTGATCCACTCAGGTTATAGAACATATTGAATTGCTTGAGAAACCGTAAGTTTTCAAATACTTCAAGATATGGTCGTAACACACGTTTATAGTAGAATTGAAATAGCTCATTCCAACTGATAAACTCTGTTTGAACTCATATTTTGCTCATAGATAGGGTTTAAAATGTAGATAAAAACCTTTTATCTACATTATAAATTCTACACCTATGGGAAATATATGAATTCAAACAGCGTAAAAAGCTCTAGAGGATAGCTTTGACATATCCTTGAAGTACACTTACAATCTACTCGCTTTCGTTAAAAAGCAATTGAAAACATTCACTTGTCAAATTACCTTGAAAATCGACTTTCAAGGTCAAGCATTACATAAATAAACTTCTTAATATATTGTGAAAGTATTAGATTTTCAACTATCTTCTAACTTCAAACATCAATATTGAAAATTTACTGATATAATCACATGATTACTTACTTAGCTGTAATTGGTAATGAAAAAATATTTTTTCCTACACCATCTATATCAACATGTAAAAATGTATCATATTTTTGAATTGATTTTGGTATAAAATCGACATAAATTTTTGTATCACTTTGTGGCGGAATTATTCCACGTGATGGTCGAATTTGAAATTCATTATTATTATTATGATTATTAATATCATCATCATCATCTATATTATTATTATCATCATCATCATCAAATGAAACAAGATTTGATTTTTTATTTTTATCTTGATCAATATGTAATTTAAATGGCATTGGTACAAGTGATGTATTATATAAATGACATGTTAATGTTGTTTGAAAACCATATGAAATAAGACCAAATTTTAATTGTGCTTGATCAAAATAAAATGTTGGTCCAATAACTTGTCCTGATACTATTATTGGTAATGGATGTGGATTACCGTCAATTTCAACATTAAATATTTCATTAAATTGTCCAAGTTGTTCACTATGAAATGTTATTTGTATAGCTTGATAATTATCAATTGATATTATACCAGATGATGGATCAAATTGAAAACATGAACCAAATATTGAATTTGTATTACGTATATGATAATGTGCTTCAATAAAACCTTTATTAGCTAAAACAACTTCATAAAGATGTGTTGAACCAACATAAACACAACCAATATCTAATGTTTGAAATGATGCTTCTAATTTTGCACCTTCACCTTCACCTGTTAATGTTAATGGTAATCGTTGTTCACGACCAACAACATCAAGCCATGCTGTTTGTTCATATTTACGTGCTTCATTTGGTTTAAATAAAATTTGAATATCTAAATTACCACCTGGCCATATATCACCTTCAAGTGGATCAATACGAAAATTTGAATTAGCAAATAAATAAGATTCATTTGTTAATTGTCGACGATGATTAATAAATGTACGTTGAATTAATACACCAAAATCAAATGGACCAGCTGATGGAGATTCATTAGTATTAACTAAAAGAAAAAAAAATGAATATTTTTTTATTATAGAACGATACAGTTTTTAGTGGTAAATCACGGCATTTATCAAAACCGATGGTTTACCGCGGTAAACCGGCGATTTTTTCGAGCATTTTTATGACATGGAAAGGTACAAGAAAAAAACATTTAAAATAGCAAAATCGATGATTTGGAGCAACTAAATGTCAATAATCATTGACAGACCGGTTAACCGGTTCATTTTAGCAATAAACCGCCGATTTTCTTCTGTTTTTTATCATATGGGTATATACTACTTTTTAAATGTGCTCAAAAAAGAACCGTAATCACCATAGGTCAACCGTCACACTCAGTTAGGTACTTGCGCTTTCAGTTTAATCTTGGAAGTTGCTGCTATAGATAGGTCTAATGACTTTTAGAATATTCCTTTATCAAAATATTGAATTTTTAAACAATAGTCGTTCGCCATAAAAATCGAATTTACTTAAGAGATTTCCTCAGAATTGATTTTCGGACTGTTTGGGCTGAAATTTTCACGAAAGATTGGTCCTAGCGAGAAATGCTTGTGATAAAAATTTCAGTCTGACTAGACCGAACTTCTGGCTTGTTTTCCTACCTTCCAGAAGAATCGAAATAACTCTGTAGGATATAGAGCTCGGACTGGTTTTAAAATAAAGCTAGCCTCTGTACGCAACTTTCCATCCAACGGAATTTTGAAACTCCGTTCCATTCATTTTTTATGATTATTTTAATGGACATGGTGTTCAAAATAAGCATAAAAGAAAAAAAAAGGTAACTCGATCGACAATAAATCCCACTGTTCTCAGTCCAGAAATCCGTCCGATGAACAGTTAGCTCTGATTAAGATCTCTAAAACAAAAAAAAACATCGGTGGTACTCCCGAGCCAAATGGCAGTTATTTCAATTTGAGAAGAATGCTAAAGAAGTTTTAGAAGTGGATTTTTTCATTCAAATCCAGGACAAATCATATATTATTAATATATTCCAGTGGACTGTTTTAAATTACATAATAGATGAAGGTACTTAACTCCATCTGTCATGCTGGTTAATATAAAAATATTCTATTCAATGATAATACAAGTGGCAACGCAATTTTTTCAAAACTGAAAAACTTTAATAACCACGAAAATATGGTAGTAAAGTCAAAGTTTCATGTGATAAGTCTTTGAAAATCTGATCATTTTTCAAAAAACCATATATACTCTGAAAGAGGAACCTTCCCATGCAATAAAAACTCAACTTCGATATTTTTTTGAAAAATTCGATTTTCTAAGGACTCATTCGAAATTTCGATCGGTTTATTTTTTCATTCTCATTTGACAACATAGTTTTCACTGTTTAATTTAATAAAACATCTATTTACTATTTAATCTTTGTAATGCATTAACTTCTTCTTCTGATAATGCATGAAGTTGTCGTAATTTTTGTTGTTCTTCTTCACGTTCTGTAGGATAGAGTTTCCATTGAAAATGAACTAATTGATCACTACGATTTGATATTGTTACAGTACGTTGATTAATCATTTCTAAATATGTATTTTCAAAATGAATAGATCGTTTTTCTAATCGAACATTTATATCTTGTGCAACACCATATACATTAACATAAACTTTTTCTCCTAAAAATAAGATTTCAATAGAAACAAAAAAAAAAAAACAAAAAAAAACAACACAAACCAGTATCATAAATTATAATAAGTTCATCTTTCATTTCACCATTTACAGTTGGATTAAAATCAATAGTTACTTGCATACTTTCACCAACAGGTAAAAGACCATTTTCAGGTGAAACATGAAATGGTCTAAATTATATTATAAATTTTTTTGTTTTTTTATTTGTGAAATTAAAAATTTTTTTATTTACTTATTTATTTGTAAAACAAAACGAGCTTCACGATTACCAATATTTCGAACAAATAAAACTTTACTTGTATTTGTACTTTTTACAGGTGTCGATGGAAATGTAATAGAATCAGGAAAATCTAATATAGCACGAGCACCAATAGCTCGTATTGGTATAAGAAATTTTTCACGTTCAGTTGCTACTAAAATTTCATGTGCATAATCCTAAAGAAAAAAATTTTTTTTCTAATCTAATTAAAAAAAACAACAAATCAATAAATACTCGTTGTTCTTCTGGTTTGAATTGAATACGAAAAACAAGTGCAACTCCAGGTGCTACTTTTTGAAATGCATTTGGTGGAGCTATAATTGTAAAATATGGTGTATCAGCTTGTGATACTTTAACAACTCTTGCTACCTAATCAGAGAAAATATTTTTTTTTGATAAATTCTAAAAAAAATCTTACTTTATCATTATTTCGAAGTAATAAAGGTACTTCATATGTTTTAAATGGTTCATATTTTTGAAAAGTAATATCCGATGGATATGGTTGAAATAGAGGTTCATCAATATCAACTTTTGATATCTATTTTAAAAAAATAAGAATTGAATTTTTAATCAAAAAACAAAAAGAATTTTACTGTTTGTAATGATGTTTCAGACATATCTGATAGAGCAATGATTTTTGGTAGATACATTTCTCTTGTACTAAGTAATTTTTGTTGAGTATCTAATGACATTTCTTTTAAAAATGTCGATGGTGTAAACTATAATAGAATAAACGAATTTTATTGAAATTAGTTTCAATTATTAATATACTTTTGGTTCAATTTTTGACCCACGATTTAATGTTGGATTTCTTGGTGCAATCACTTTACTTTCATAATTTGTCGGTAATGATAACGGTGCACCACCGGTATCAATAGTAGGTTTTTGATCGAATAACATCGTTTTTTCAATGTTTCTCGAAGATCTAGAAAATATAGAAATGAATATAACAAACAAGCAAAACAAAAAAAAAGAATTCATCCATCAATTATGTTTTGTACATGAGTAACGATGACAATCGTTTCTATGTTGTTGGTTAGAAAAGAAAGAAAAAAACCGAGATGTCGCTAAACATCATAGTCTTTATATTACAAATTTAATTGAAGTATTGAAAAGATAACTTTATTAAAATGACAAAAAAAAAATGTATAGATCTTAAAAAATGGTGAGCAATAATTTAATCTTTAATGAATTGGTTATTGCTTTGTTTATCGCTACTCAGCATTACAATAATCACCAATGAAACATACTCAAATTTGAAGTAGCATGACACATTAATTTCAAGATTGAAGTGCATAAAACGAGAACTACAATATTATTTCATCATACAAACATTCTATTTAAAAGCAATTCACACATTTCTTTATGTCCTTGAATTTTTGCAGAGAAATATGCATCGAACATAGAATTTAAAACATTGTATTTTTCTGAATAAAAAATTATTGAAAGATATTTTCAATATCTAATAAGAGATTGTTAGGCTAAATTCATCAAAACAGTATAGTAATGTTATTAAACAAGATCAATATCTCATAAAAGAATGATTCATCACAAAATGCTCTTCTCCAAAAAAAAATATTTACAGTTTACTAGAATCGGACTTTTTTCTTCCACTACAAGTCAAAAACGTTACATTTCTATCAATCTGCTGATCGAAGTCTACAAGAAAGTGAAAAGTAGCCATTTTGAAATTCATCACTAGGAGAACTCTATTAAGCTCGGCACCTTCAAAAATTGATCTTGCATCAAGTGCGTTTAAATTGCATGAAATTTTCAGGATATGTTGCAGTTATCGTGGAGAGTCTAGAGAAAATTTTTAGTCCTATACTATGATGTTTTCGACAAATATTCAATAAATAAGGGTTAAAAACAGTTCATTTAACAAACTCTAAATTCTCTGTAGGTCTTAATTCTGTATACCTAATTGTTTGTTTGTTTAAAAGGACATGTCAAAGCTCTTTTTTTTTAAATTCTTACTTTTTAAGCGGAGAAAAGGAATCAAACGTTCGATGTCTAGAAAAACTCAAGAAACTTTTTATATAATAATAACAAAGCTTAATTCAAAAAGTGAACTCTATCATACCCTATATGTTGATATACTCTTTCAAATAAAGAGAAAAGCAATTGGATACAATGAAGCTCCCATAAGAATTCTGGAATTCATGATGAAAAAACTATAAACAACGGAAGAGCAAAAAAAACATTTCTGACTTTTTTTAAACCATACATTTACAGGTGTTTGCAAAAAAACTTGCACTACTTCTTCTACAGATATTATTTTCTATATAAGCGTTTTTCGATCTTTTTTTATAGTGTAGTGGATAGCCCACGACGAATACTACACGCAACACTATAATCTGATATTCGATCTGTTCACTTGTAGAAGAAAAATAAGATAAACATCTCTTTTTCTCAGACGCAAGAAAAAAAACTTAAAATCGAAATTGGGTGTGGGTGTGGATGTGTGGGTGTCGGTGTGGGGTGTGAATGTGAGTGTGGATGTGGGTGTAGGCATCGGAGTGTACACTTTCTCATTAGCCACACCCACACCCACATCCTTTATTTATTTAAAGAATTGCAACACATGAAGATATAACTCATCGTTTTAGACGTCCAACTCATATCGCTCGAAATGGAATTGTTCATCCTTTAATTGTACATGGAACTTTGGCAAATTTTATTTTTTATGTTTTTATTTATTTATTTCAAATTAAATATTATTTATTTTATTTTAGAGATTAGATGATGAAAAACATGATAAAACAGAAATATATATATAGATCATATTAATGCTTCTATAGATCACCTTATTTGTTATTTGTCATTAGAATGTATATTTGATTATTTTTTAAAATAAAAGTCTTTTTTTTTTATTGAGACATTTATTATTTTTAACTGAAAATTTATCTTCATTAGGTCTTTAGAAATGAATGGAAATTTAATTATAAAGAATTAAAATGATCACCTTAAATTAAACTTCATCCAAGTGTTATTGAAATTTCCATTAAACGTAAATTTTATTTAAATATTTTCGTCTGATTAATGATTTTATTTCGTCAAAGAAGAAATGCACTTGGAATAACAAAGAAAGATAATTTGTATGCTAAAGTTGTTCATTATAACAATGTTGGTAAAGTGAGAGTATGCGTTTTTTTTTTTATTTATTTTATTTTCCATAAAACATTTATGACTGTAGTATATTGTTGATAAAATTAAAGAAACAACACATGCATTACAAATTTAAAGATAATATTAATGGCATTCTTTGTCTCTGTATATGAATATATATAAAACTACAATTATTTATTTTCTAATGTTTTAAACTCTATCGATAGTATGAAAAAGGTTTTTATTATTCTTTCACTTAATAGATTTATGCTATCTAACAAATATATCTATTAACCCAATAAAATTTATCTTACAAATAAGTATTTGTTTAAATTTTCTTTATTTTAAATATCACATATTAATGTAGTATTATTATAAGATACGTAAACGATATTGGATATAGTCATCGTGTTGTCGTAAAGAGTGTATTATAATCGGACTTACTCTATCTGAGTACTAAATAGAACATTGTTTCACAAAATAAAATTTCTCTATTAAACTTTTTATGTTGATGCAAATTTTGATGAATGATGGACAATATAATAAGCTTTCGTTCTTCCTGATGTTAGAATCCATTATAATTTGTTCAATTTAAGATAAAAACTCAGATCTGGTGATAGAAGGTATAACCAATAATTGTCATAACTGCTGAAGTTCTAGCTTCAAGCTGAATTTATTGATTATTCGGCAAAAAAAAATGCAAATAAATATAACACACTTTCTTATCCTTCATAAATGAGGTGACAAGGATCTATTGTTCTTGACTTATGAAACAATAAATGACATACTAGTCTTACTCTCGATTACTCTCTTCTTCCAATCGGTAATCTTCTTCTTTTCTGTTGTTCTATCAATGCGTTTGCCATGGTCTCTTCTTCGTGATCTCTTATATAGTCTTGTATTTTATGTGATATGGACACAACTGGAGTAACAGAGTAGTGTGTAGTTAATGTCTATATTGAGGGTGATGGTAATGCTACGCCTCTAGTTCATCATCATCATCCAATTAGAAGAAATTAGAAATAACTCCAATAACGGAGAGTTGGATCTCAATTCTGCTACAATTGTCAGTGAATCATATCAATGTGACAAATGTCCAGTCAATTATTGAAACTGATTATGCGAACATAAACAAACGTTATTTATGTTCTAGATAGGAAAAAGAGTACTTTAAATGATGACAGCTGACTACAAAGCTGCTATTCGAGTTTTTTCTGAACTTCAGAAAAAAAAAATCCGGATTTCCAATTCATACAGAGCTACCTAGATCAATAATTCTAGTGTCCGATTTTATGAATTATCAATCGGAACGTGTCGGAAAGACGTTGTTTCCGGTCGGAAATTACCAGAAAATAATAAAATCTTGGAAGGAGGAATACAATGCCCTTATTTGGCGATCGGCTCTGCTCGGTTATAGTCAGTTCCGGTTGGAACCAGAAAAATCTAACTGTCAGATCCAGAAATCATCTTCCTACTTCCAAGTTTCTATAATTTTTCGGGACTTTCTTGACGGAATCCGCCGTACATCATTCACATGGATGTCGTTAAAGTTGTAAATTTCGAGTTAGATCGTGTTAAATCGTAAAGAATAGCGAATTTTACCAGATTTATAATTGTTAAACATAAGTACCACTTATAATGAATGATATATTTTGTTTTGCAAACGACTTAATTCTTGCAATTGATGATGCTAATATGTTGAACATCAAGAAAATCAATCGATATTATCATATCGATAACTTTTCCACAGATATTTACAGGTATGAAATCGATTGATAAAACATAATCGAAGTCAAATAAGGTTAATTTAGCATGTAGTAAAAGGTACGCATCTCTATATTACAGATAAGCATAATCTATTTACAGATGTCACTGCTATATAGTGCAAAATTGTATTTGTTTATTAATCGATCTTTACTTCTTCCAATATATTTTTACTTTATCTGCTACTTGATTTAAAAATGATCAAGTTTGTTTTTCCTCAATTTAATAAAAGGGAAAATAATGTATTCATTTGTTTTGTTTTTAAATATACTACTAAAAATTTTAGATCGATTTAATTGAAATAACATATATAATCATGAGTAATCGTGATAAAAAAGCTCGTGAAAATTTAAATAAAAAATATGTTAAGCAAAAGATTACTGCAAATTCTAATGATATGATTAATTTAGAAAATCAATTGAAGGAAATACAACCGGATTTTGAAGCCGATATGATACCCATATCATTTATCATTGTCAATTGTGAAAATATTTATTTTGCTAAACCATCAATCACAATTAATGAAATG